CTAAGTTTGAGTGATTTTGTCATTTCACTTAGACTGTAATCCTGCTTTCCATCTAGTTCTTAGTGAAAGAACATTTCCATTTTCATAATCAAACCAAAGAAGTCTGATCAACAATAACTTTATTACAAAAGTATACTTACTCAATATCCATAAAGTACCACACTCTTTCATAAATTATCTTAGCTAATCCTCGCCATAAAGTCATGTGAAATGAATATAATTTCCACTTTATGTAACAGGAAAGTGAGCCCTGGCCGGTTTGGCTCAGAGATTAGAACGTTGGCCCAGAGACTAAAGGGTCCTCAGTTCGATTCCAGCCAAGGGCACATACCTGGGTTGCAGGCTCGATCCCCAGCCCTGGTAGGGGCACGTGCGGGAGGGGAGGTAACCAATAGATGTATCTCTCTAACATCTTTCTTTTCTTTCTTCTCCTTCCTTCCTTCCTTCCTTCCTTCCTTCCTTCCTTCCTTCCTTCCTTCCTTCCTTCCTTCCTTCCTTCTTCTTTCTTTTCTTTCTTTTCTTTCTTTCTTCTCTCTCTCTCTCTCTCCGCCCCTCCCTTCCATTCTCTCTGAAAAGCATAAATAAATAACAAAAGGAAAGTGATGATATAAGTCTCCTGGGTGGCAGGGAACAAACATGTCTCGCGTCTCTACATTCCTAGTACTGAGCTCCCAGCACTGAGTATGTGGCCTAGGACACAGTTTAAGAGCCTACCACATGCTTCGTGCTTAAGAACAAATGCTTGACTGTCTGGTTGGTGTAGTTCAATGGTTGAGTGTCAACCCATGAACCAAGAAGCCACCAGTTCCATTCTCAGTTAGGGCTCAATCCCCAGTGGGGAGACATGCAGGAGGCAGCCAATCGATGTTTCTCTCTCATCGATGTTTCTATCTCTCTATCCCTCTCTCTTCCTCTGTCTCTAAAGATGAATAAAAACAAACTTTTTTTTTTTTTAAAGTAAATGCATGACTAAGGGAAAGGAAAAGAAATTTGGAAAAAATTTGCAATCCAAATTTTGCTCTAATCCTCTAACTGAAACCACTGCCTGGAACACACTTGCACATTGTAAATAATCTACTTGAGCTTCAGAGGTTTGTTTCAAAGGACAATTTATCATCTTTCCAACGTGTATGCCATAAAGATAGCATCCACATTTGGCTATACTCTCCACAGGGCAAGGCCTGGTCCTACTGCACCTTTTTTTCTCCCACTCAGCACCACACCTTGCACAGGTGGGTGTTTAATGAGCTGAGCAATGACAAAGGTCATAATGACACCTTTAGCCAACATGGGAGTACACGGAACACAAGATGCCCACAACCACCAGAAAAACTAGTCTCTGAGTCACTACGCTGTCTCTCCAGCCTCATTTTCCTCTCTCTACAATGGGAATAACAAGAGAACACACAAGATTGTTTTCATTCATTTAATACTACTAAGTATTAACCACATGCCAGGCACTGTGCCAGATGCAGGACACACAGCCATGAATATGACTATCACATCGTTCCTCACGGAACTCAGTCTCAGTGGGTGCTGAGACTCATGTCAAAACAGACTTTTACAAACTTCAAAGAACTAGACCATTATGAAGTGTTGCTCCTCCTCTGTGTTTCCCATCTTGGTTAATGGTATCACCCTCCAACCACTGTCCAAGCTGTAAACTTGGGAACTGTCCTCAACTGCCTCTCCTTCATCCTGCCCCCAGTTCTAATCTACCACCAGGCCTCTTCCGATTCTCCTTCAGAAAAGTCTCTGACGTGTATTTCTTCTCATTTAAGTTTTCCATGCTTCTACACTAGGCACTTTGTTCCCTCCTGAATAATTACAAGTCTTATAATAATGATAACGGCAAGCATTTATTGATCACTTGCCATATGGCAGGCATTGTACTAAGCGCTTTGCATGTATAGCATAATTTAATCCAATAAGGTAGATACTAGTACTTTATTTATAGAGGAGGAACCTGAGGTGCAGAGTAACCTGCCCAAGGCACATACAGCTAGTAACAAAGCTACTGCTCAAATCCATATCTATGAGACTGTACCCTTATGCGTAACTGGATCCCTACCTCCAGTCACTTTCCGGTTGGTCTACACTCCCTACTTTATGCTGTTGCTGGAGTGTTCTTTCAAAAATCCAAGCTGATCTGTCTCTTCAAGACAGCCAATGGCTCCTCACCATCTCCAGGTCAAGGTCTGAAGGCTACAGGCACTCCCGTATTATCTACTTGTCCTGCTACTCTCACAGCTCCCCAAATTCTTTGCTGACCCAGCTCACATCTCCCTCCCCTGTGAAGCCTCCTTTGCCCTCCCCCTCCAGACAAGAACCTTCTCCTCTTTAGCATTGGCCCCAAGTACACACTCATGTTTCAGCACTGATATGTTTCCTTCCCCTCTCTCTGCCCCGCCCACCCCTCCGCCCACACACAAAAACAAAACAAAACTACACACTTCCAATCCTGAGTCCCTGGAGGACAGGCACAGTGTATTTTCATCTCTGGTTCTCTAGGTCCCAGCACGGTATCAAGTCAATAAGTGACTAAATGAGTGGTATGTAGTGGTGTTAATACCCCACAGCACTATCCCAATAAGCAGGTAAGACCTTTCCCCCAGAGGATACCAAAAAGAAGGGCAAACTCAAGAAGATAGACTGGTTTCAGCAAAGTTATAACTGAGATTGGTGCTCCATAGTCTGCTGGAAGCCTCTCTCCAAGCTTCTTGAAAGCCAATTCAATCACCTCTAAAACTGCAGAAAACTAACTCCAGACCAAAAGATCACAGGAGAACTGCAACCCTGCAATGAGCAAAGCATTCCCAAATGCAGACTGGTAAAAACAATGACTCTAATTACCGTGAACAACAGAGAATCCTGATTGAGTCATCCAAGAAAAAACCTAGAGACAGCAAAATCTGACCCTACTCTCCAACTTCAGAGCTACAACTGGAGTGTAGGCCACAGATGACTGCAACCGCTTTCTCACTCATCTCCCTGCTCCCACTCTCATCCCCTCCACAGGTCTATTTCCCAAGTAGCAGCCAGATGGTGTTTTTAAAACTATTATCAAGACTGGCCAGGCATGGCTCAGCAGTTGAGCATCAACCTAGGACCCAGGAGACCGCAGCTCTATTCCCGGTCAGGACACATGCCCGGTTGCGGGCTCAATTCCCAGTCGGGGGTCTGCAGGAGGCAGCCGATCAATGACTCTCATCACTGATGTTTCTATCTCTCTCCCTCTCCCTTCCTCTCTCTGAAATCAATAAAGATATATTTTTAAAAAAACAAAAAAACTATTATCAACAATTAGGACAGGCTCCTCCTGCAGAACACCCTCCAACAACACCTTTCCATCCACTTGAAATGAAATCCAAACTCTTTATGAGGAAATTCAAGATCCACTCCCCATACCCTTATTTCACACCACTCTCCCCTTCAATTACTACATTCTAGAAACAGAGGACTGTCTCTTAAAACAAGCCAACCTCTGGGCCTTTTCCTATGCTGCTCTCCCTGCCTGAAAGGCCCCTCCCCTAGATTTTTATAGAGCTGGTTCCTTCTCAAGGAACAAACTTACCTTTCCAAAGAGGACTTCCCTGACCACTCTATCTAAAGTGGCACCCCTTCCCACCCCACCACTCCCCATCAGATATTTTTTCCCCCCTAGCACATCACAACTAGACAATAGTTTCTTCGTTTATTTTCCTGTCTCTGTCTTCGCCCTTATTTGAGTGGAAGCTGGGTACTGTTCACCCTATGAATACTGTATATGCAGTTAAGGACATGGAAAGAATTTCCAAAGGATTTGTTGACTACTGACAGAGCAGCATCCTCAGGATAGGCTATTTTGTTCTTCTGTTAAAAGGAAGAAAACATCTATTTAGCCCCTACTATGCGCTGGGCACTGTAAATTCATGATCTTCCTTTCAGAGAGCTAAATTAACTAGCTCAAGGTCACAGGGCTAAGGACTACCAGACTTGGAGTTAAATAACTTATCTGTAGAGATCCTCAACCCCTCTCACCTTTACCCCCTTAGGGGGAGGGTCTCACCCTATGTGTGGTTCACTCTCATATTGCCGTGACAAGAAAAATCACGTCTAAATTGCTTCACAGTTATTAAATCATTTTCACATTCGCCTCACTTAAGAATACAAAGCATACCCAGAAAACCACACAACAAGAAGTAAAGTGCCTGGAGGTTCAATATCTCTGCCCTTAAACACAGCAGTGGGGACAGGACGAGTCCTGGCCAATGGCGGAATGGAATCCCTATTTCTGGTAGAGAGGGATGGGGAAGCGATGAGTCACACACCGGGTGAAGACTTGACTTTTGAGAAACTCTGATAAGACCTGGCTCTAAAGCACCATGAAGTGAATCACTGAGCTGGAAGGCACTTTAGGCCTCATGGAGGCCAAACCCTGGCTGATGGATGGGGCAAATGAGACAAGACGAAAAGTAACTTGTTCAAGTACACTCAGCAAGTGAAGAGGGCCGGAAGCAGCGCTCTCCTCTCCCCCAGTTCCCTTTTATCTCCGTCAAGGAGGCTTCTCAAGGAAAACTCTGAGTCAGACAGCGGAAGGAGGCCAGGGTCAGCTCATGGACTCCGCAGAGGGACTGGGGTGGGACCAGCAAACAAGTGTTAGGGAGGCGGCAGTAGTACCTGGGAAGGGTGGGTGAGGGCAGTCCAGAGGGAGGAGGAAGAGGCGGAAGAGAAAGAAAAGGAGTGAGGGCAGAAGAAAGTGTTGTGGAAACAGGGCCTGAAGGGGCCTGGTAAAGCGGGGAAGCCTGAGAGGAGAGGGCTCGGAAGGAGTGTGATGGTGAAGTCCAAGGCCCGGGGAGACACTGACAGGAGTCAGACCGGGAGAGCCCCATACGAGGAAAGGCTCCGGAGAGGTCTGACGGGGATGTCTAGGATCCTAGCAGATTCCGGGGCGCGTCGGACGAAGGTGGAGTCCGGGCCCGGGGAGCTGAGAGGAGCCTAAGGGGGCCGGGCCGACTCACCGCGTTTGTTTTTGGTGCCGTGTTTCTTGGCCGCTGTCAGCTCCTGCTCGATCTTCTTCTCCAGGAATTCTTGCTTTTTACTTAGCATCTCCTCGGTGTCCCGCAGCCGCTGGATGGCCTCCTGGGGGGTCGGGCCGCCCTTGCCAGCCTTACCCCCTCCCGCCCCAAACAGCTTCCCGAACACCGACATGGTTGCTGCTGGCCGCGCCGGCCTGCGCCGTCCCCTCCGGCTCGGCTCGGCTCGGCTCCGGCGCCCGCTCCCGGCCCAGTAGCTCCCTGCAACCGCAGGCCTTTCCACCGCCTCCGCCCCGCAGCTGGGCCCGGCTGTGCCACCTCCCATAGGCCCCCACGCCCGGCCCGGCTGGCGTCAGGGCAACGCGCCACCTACTACAACTCCCGGTGGGCAACGCGCTGACTGTGCGGCAAATCTGATGGAGAAAGGCGCGCGGGATGCCGGGAGGCTATAGTCTTCCGGTTTGGGGCTCCCGGCGGTGCGTAGTTTTGGTCTTTCTAGGGTCAAAGGGCGAGGTGGCATGCTGGGAAATGTAGTGTCTTTCGGAACCCTCTCTGTAGGGGAAGGACAGAAAGAGAAATAATAGTATTTTTTTAAAAAGAATAATTAACATTATGCACATTCTGTGATCCAGGCATTATGAAAAGTGCTTATATACATTATCACATTTAATTGTCACAAGCTTATGACAGATAATACTATTCCTATTTCGTAGGTGAGTAATCAAGACTGAGAAATTGCGTGATTAACCAATTTAACTTACTGGCCTTCTCTTTGCATTTGCTGTGCCCTCTCCCTGGAATGCCTTTCTACTTTTTATTCACCTAATAGGTTCTTCAAAACCTAGTAGAGGATAACAGCCTTGGGACTGGAGTTAGATTGCAGAGGTTCAAAACTCACTTTGAATACTTTATTGGGCAGGTTGCTTCCTCTATTCTGTGTACCTCTTTTGCGGAAACTGTAAACCAGCCACGATAACGGGACCACATTCAAGCTAGGGAATGTAAAGTGCTTACATAGCATAGCTCTAGCATAGTAGGTGCTCAAAAATGTGTATTCATTCCTGCATATTTTGGGTCATCATTGTGCACAAAAATTAAACCAGGAAGAGACCCAGAACTTTCAAAAGTAGCAGAAGTATTGAAGATCTACCCCCCTACACCCCGCATTACGCAGGCCCAGCTGGATGTGGGGCCACATATCATTGTTTTCCCTTCTCAGTTGCTGTCAAGAATCACTTCACCATCCATTAGCAGGGAGGCTTCGAGTAATAGCCAATATTTCCCCAAGCCCACCATTCTAATTTGCTGCTTCCAATTGCCAATGAAGAAAAACATGACTTCTCAAAGGCATTTTTTATTCCTTCCTGAACCTCTTAAGTATGTGAAGTTTCTTGGGAACAGAGTTTCAACTAAATGATAGCTTAACTGAACTTTTTCTCTATTATTTCACATATGAGTCTTGTCTCCTCCCCAGACTTATGATCTATATGTGAATAAAAACATCTCTCAGATGTTGTTGTTCCTGTTGTAATCTACCATAATCCCAGCCTGCATATATAGGTAACCATTCTCAGAGAATGGGAGAATTTATTTCACCCAACATTCCAGGATGGAAGAAATTTTTCAAATTGAGAGTCATGCTGGAATTGTCAAGAATTCACAGCAGCATAAATTGTAAAATATAAGTCACACTTGTGTTTGTTTTGTAATTAAGACATTGCAATGTTTTTATCAAACTAAAAACTAGGAGGCTTCAATCAAGCCACCTTATGGGTACAATGACCCCTCCACATCTAAGCAATTTGCTCTCTCCCCTCTTTTTTTTTTTTTTTTTTTAATCCTCACCCAAGGATATGCTTAGAGAGAGAGGAAAGTGGGGAGGGGTGGAGAAAAACATCAACATGAGAGAGAAGCATCAATCGGTTGCCTCCCCTACTCCCCCAACTGATGATCAAACCCAAAACCTAGGTATGTGCCCTGAAGGGGAATCAAATCCGCAACCTTTTGGTATATCGAACGACGCTCCAACTGAGCCACCCAGACAGGGCCCCCTCCCCTCTTATCTAAATCATGCTGCAACCAGGCATACAGGTAGCAAAACATTTGCTGGGCTTGTGCCATGACCCAAAGAATATATGAATAGGCAGACCCTGTAGGCCTTATCACCATCAGTCTTATATTGCTGGAGGGTAAACTGAAGATAATAGTGGAGCCCCTTGTCATAACTTTGGGAACCCAGAAAAACATCTTGGCGATATGATAGCAGAACACTCAGATTTAATCCTAATTTCCAACCCCAATCAGTTAGTATGGGCCACTTGGATTGCTGGGTTGAGAAGAATTTTGAGGCTGTATCAGGACTCCTTGTAATAATATGCTGAGATAGATTTGTGATGTCTGCCTAGAGCCTGAGATCGGAAGGGGTGAAATTTGGGCAGGGTAGCTGCCATCTTGGCTGAGGATCCAGCTGCCTTAGTAGTGATTTACAGGATGAACTGGCTCCGTACTGGAGAGCCCTAGGTTTCCCTGGCTTTCATTTTCCTGGTCTCTTGGGCAAATGCACAGCTTTTCAAACTGTGACTGACTGGTATTAGCTCATTAAAAACTATGTGAAAAGAATGAACATTGCATGCAATGACTTGGATGACTCCCAGATATTATGCTAAGTGAAAGAAATCAAGACACAAAAGCTGTACAATTCCAGTTATACAAAATTCAAAACCAAGCAAGACAAATCTATGGTGGGTGATAGGAGTTGGATTAGTGGTCACCTGCAAGGGTGGTATAGCCCAGGTAGAATGACCCTTGTGAGGTCCTGGACAGGTTCTATATCATGATCCAGTGGTGTTCACATAGGTATATACAAATTTATCTGTTTTTATACTTGAGATCACTGCCCTTTATATACCTTATGTACTTTACTAAATACATGTTATATCACAATTTTAAAATTTTCTCTGTTAAGAGTGGCAAAGGAAACATGCAGGTTTTTTTGTTTGCAAAGTATCTTTGCATACAAAAATCCCATCTTATCTCCATCCCCCAAAACCCCATGAAATAAGCATTACTATGCCATCTCCATTTTACAGTTGAGGACCACAGAAGTAGGAATTGTGGAAGGTCACATGGCTAAAGACATCCAGCCATATGTTTGTAAACTTCTTTAAAAACATGTCAAGCCCGGCTAGCGTGGCTCAGCGGTTGAGCATCGACCTATGATCCAGGAGATCATGGTTCGATTCCCAATCAGGGTATATGCCAGAGTTGTAGGCTTGATCCCTAGTAGGGGGCATGCAGGAGGCAGCCGATCAATACCTCTCTCATCATTGATGTTTCTATCTCTCTCTCTCCCCTTTCCTCTCTCTGAAATCAATAAAGATATATTAAAAAAAAAATCAAAAACATGTCAAGAGGACCCTGGCCAGTGTGGCTCAGTTGGTTGGGCATCATCCCTCCCGTGCACCGAAAGGTCGTAGGTTCCATTCCCTGTCAGGGCACGTAATCTGATTGATGTTTCTCTCTCTCTCTCTCCCTTCCTCTCATTCTAAAATCAGTTTTTAAAAAAACATTTTAAAAAATCTTGCCCGCCCAGGTGTGGCTCAGCGGTTGAGCGTCAACCTAGGACCCAGGCNAGGAGGCAGCCGATCAATACCTCTCTCATCATTGATGTTTCTATCTCTCTTTCTCCCCTTTCCTCTCTCTGAAATCAATAAAGA